TAAGCATTTATACGGTACTAATCATACTTATTATAGAGTATCTTAAAGGCTAGGTTTACCTTTTAAACCATGGGGTCTATCATAGCTTCGGCTGATCCTTCGACTAGCTTCGGCCCCAGGACCCCTTCGATTCAGTAGAAGCAAAGGGCTGCTGTACGGGCTATTCACTATAGCCCATACAGCTCCTGAAGTCGGCTGAGCGGCTCAGTCGAGCCGAAGGCATATGCTTCGGCTCGACTGAGCCGAGGTGAAAGCCGAAGCTGGCTCCGGTCACTTGCAGAGAGATCAGTGCCCCTGGTCACCAGCTAACCAGGGACACTGATCTCCAAACAGCCCAACTGTCCCGCCCAGGAGAGAAACACTGCTTTTTTTTTATTCTGACATGGAGCCGTTGGCTGTCGTCAGAATAATAATTAAAAAAATTTCACTATAGGAATGCATTGCTAGATTCCTATTGGCTATTTCAATTTGCAATAGCCAATAGCAAACTGGCTATTGCACCCGCCCACTGCTGAGGGGACCTGCAGTTCTCCATCAGGTCCCCACTAGTGATTGACAGCATCAGAGGGCGGGTGCAATAGCTAGTTTGCTATTGGCTATTGCAAATTGAAATAGCCAATAGGAAACTAGCAATGCATTCCTATGGCGAAAATGTTTTTTTTTTCTTTCTTTTTTTTTGACGGCAGCAGAATCGCCGGCCAATAGAAAACAGTTGGGCGGAGCTAGCTGTCACTGCTAGCTCCGCACAATCGTTTTCTATTTATTTTTTTTCTACTGTTTAAACTATTTTTCTGTTCTGTTCGGTCCCACAGAGGGATCGAGCAGAACAGCCTATTCACTCACTGCTGTTCGGCATCTATAAGAATAGACCGAACAGCAGCGAGTAGCCTGCCGGAGGTTCGGCTTAGCCCATCCAGATGTTGGATCGGCTGAGTCGAACTCCTTCTGCACTTCGGTTCGGCCGAACATGGCGAGCATGTTTGGCCGACCCGAAGCCGCGCGAAGCCACCCGATGTTCGGCTGATTTCAGCCGATATACGACTGAAATCAGCCGTACCAGCCTGAAGTGAATAGCCGAACAGCGCTTCAGGTCGGTCGGCCTATGGCAGCTTAGTGAATAGACCCCCATGTTTTATGTTACACTCATATATAGAGTGTTGTATGGATGCTTCTCCTGCACTCCTTTCAGCGTCTGGAACCAATAATCAATGTGGGGCTCGCTGTGATGAACACGGATGGCGCCGTGTGTTTTCAAGTCAGAGAAATGGAAAATCACCAGCACTCAGAAAATATTGTTTTTAGATCTTGCTGATCATTCCTTGATGTCACATGTATCAGAAAAGCCAATGTTTTGGGGCCACTCAGGGTCTCTTCATCAGGTCACTATGTCTCCCAGGTGAAGGGACCGTGCGTGGCCCTGAAACGTTGGCTTTTCTGATACATGTGACATCATTAAACGATAAGCAAGATCTAAAAACAATATTTTCTGAGTGCTTAGCTATATTATCCATTCACAGATGCTTTGAAAAGATCTGAGACACTACAAGGGCCATCTGCCACCTGGAATACAAGTGCATGGGCGTCACCACAAATGCAGTCCATTAACACTTCCTCCCATCACTACAACTGAAAGTCCATACCTCAGTATGGAGAGGGACTGGAGTAATAGCCTGGAGGGTCAGAACATTGCACAGGTGATTCACTGATCGCAGTTGCAATGCTTTACTGGTTAATATGCAGATAAATAATTATTTTGTATTGCCTGCTATATGCTGACAGCGCAAAGCCGAACTGTCACCCCGCCACCTGTTGACAGCTGGCTCTGCCTCTCTAGAGGCAGAGCTAGCTGTAACCGCCCTCTCCTCCATCTGTCCCTTCAGTCAGCGTTGGAGGAATGAAGAGGGGAGGGTGGAATTCCTGAGGGGAGCTGCAGTGTCACACATCGGCTCTAATTAAGGGAATGAGTGTATTTTACTCTCCCCATATTTCTCCTTTAATTTGTTGTGACATTTTCAGCTGTAAAGTAGCTTCTTGTAATAAAGACCGGTAGCTGCTGTTCTCGCTCCTTGTGCAGGGTGACTGGTCTTGTCTCTGCCCCCTTGTAGTCTTCGACAGGATGCCTATAGGGAGGGGGACTTTATGGCTCCTCCCGCAGCACTGCTCTTTGCACAGGTTATGTGCAGCACAATGATGGTGCCATGAGCTACTTTTAAGAAGTATTATCTGGGTTTTCAAAGGCATTTGGTGCATACAAAGTGCATTTATATCCTCTGCAACTTTTATGGAATAAATGTAAATGAAGGTTTTTTGTGTCCAGTGTTCAGCTTTAAGTACCACTAATTTATTAAAAGAAAGGAAGAATTTAATTGGTTGTTCTCTGTAAAAGAGACAGTTCCTTTATCAGACTCCTTGTATAATGTAAATACCTTGACTACAGATATTATTGTTTCATACATTTGGTATCCTGACCTACCCTTTAAATTTCTCTCATACTATGTATATTAGTCTGTAAGTGCATATGCTTACATCATGCCTGCTTACGTATGTGCATATGACTGTGGGTTTTTTTTTTTCTATTGTTGTTCATAAGTTGAGTGTCCATATCAAAATAAGTTGAACACCACGAGTTTAAAAAGTGTGATGCATACTTGTATGTTCACTAACAGAAGTCATTTGGTTTCCTTTTAGGTTCATACCTGTAACGGATAACAGCCAATGTTTGGGAAAGGAAGAGTTCCCTAACAGCTATTTAGGGGCATCACCTGAACAGTAAGTGATGTGGTTTACTACATAGAATACCGCTTGGTATAATAAAGCAAGAACATTATACAATATACTTTTATTATAGCTTCACCAAATACTTCCCTATCCTGAACAATACATAAAGCAGAAGTAAAGGCAAATATTCAAACACACTTTATTTCAGTTATTAAAAAAATGTTAAGGCAATATATCAAAACTGGAGCAGACAAAATCTGGAGCAGCTGTGCATAGTAACATAGTAAATTTCCCTAGTAAATGTATATTAATATACTGCATATAAAACTGAGTTCTGGGTTTGCAGAGTGAGCAAAACAGGCATAGTGGCATCGCAGTTTAACATTTTTCAGGTAAGAGATGGAGGGTGAATTACTGAGACAGCTTACAGAAGGAGGAGAGCTTCGGTAGAACGAGGCTTTTGCACAGTGTAATAAAAAGGCAGCTGACATAGAAAGTGGTTGTATTGCAACATCCTAGCTATGCAGTGTGGCAGAGATGTGTGACCTACATGACTGGCTGAACAGAATTAGAAATAATTTGGAAGATAAAACAGTACATGTATTTTGACAGCATATTGTGTACACATTTTGCTATAAAAGATTTTGTTTAACCCTCTCGTGCCTAGTGATAATTGAAACCTTGTGGATAAGGTCAAATATTGTAGGTTTTCCATGTACCGCTACGGGTAGGCAACCTTGGCACTCCAGCTGTGATAAAACTGCAAATCCCATGAGGTATTGCAAGACTCTGACAGCCACAGGCATGACTCGCAGAGGCAGAGCCATGATAGGGTATGTAGTCTCACAAAAGCTGGAGCGTCAAGGTTGCCTACCCCTGCTTTAAATACCTGTCCAACTACTTTGCTTACTAAAATGATTTTCACACTACCTTTCCAGGACATTTTTTTTAATACCATGTATGTCATTTTTACTCTAGGCAATCAGACATAATGGGGTCTATTCACAAAGCAGCCGAAGGATCTAACCGTAGCTTCGGCCAATCCTTCGGCTAGCTTCGGGCCCCAGGACTCCTTCAGTTCAGTAGAACCAAAGGGCTGCTGTACGGGCTATTCACTATAGCCCGTACAGCTCCCGAACCTGGCCGAGCGGCTCAGTCGAGCTGAACGCATATGCCTTGACTCAGCTGAGCCGTGCTGAAAGCCGAAGCTGGCCGAGCGGCCGGCCATTGGGTGGCCGACAGCCTGCTTCTGACAGCTGGGCGGAGCCAGCCGTGATCTTACGGATGGCTCCGGCCACTTGCAGGGAGATCAGCGTCCCTGGTTACCTGCTAACCAGGGACACTGATCTCCAAACAGCTAACTCTCCCTGGCGCTCCGGGAGTCTCCAGTAAATACCTTGACTACAGATATTATTGTTTCATACATTTGGTATCCTGACCTACCCTTTAAATTTCTCTCATACTATGTATATTAGTCTGTAAGTGCATATGCTTACATCATGCCTGCTTACGTATGTGCATATGACTGTGGGTTTTTTTTTTTCTATTGTTGTTCATAAGTTGAGTGTCCATATCAAAATAAGTTGAACACCACGAGTTTAAAAAGTGTGATGCATACTTGTATGTTCACTAACAGAAGTCATTTGGTTTCCTTTTAGGTTCATACCTGTAACGGATAACAGCCAATGTTTGGGAAAGGAAGAGTTCCCTAACAGCTATTTAGGGGCATCACCTGAACAGTAAGTGATGTGGTTTACTACATAGAATACCGCTTGGTATAATAAAGCAAGAACATTATACAATATACTTTTATTATAGCTTCACCAAATACTTCCCTATCCTGAACAATACATAAAGCAGAAGTAAAGGCAAATATTCAAACACACTTTATTTCAGTTATTAAAAAAATGTTAAGGCAATATATCAAAACTGGAGCAGACAAAATCTGGAGCAGCTGTGCATAGTAACATAGTAAATTTCCCTAGTAAATGTATATTAATATACTGCATATAAAACTGAGTTCTGGGTTTGCAGAGTGAGCAAAACAGGCATAGTGGCATCGCAGTTTAACATTTTTCAGGTAAGAGATGGAGGGTGAATTACTGAGACAGCTTACAGAAGGAGGAGAGCTTCGGTAGAACGAGGCTTTTGCACAGTGTAATAAAAAGGCAGCTGACATAGAAAGTGGTTGTATTGCAACATCCTAGCTATGCAGTGTGGCAGAGATGTGTGACCTACATGACTGGCTGAACAGAATTAGAAATAATTTGGAAGATAAAACAGTACATGTATTTTGACAGCATATTGTGTACACATTTTGCTATAAAAGATTTTGTTTAACCCTCTCGTGCCTAGTGATAATTGAAACCTTGTGGATAAGGTCAAATATTGTAGGTTTTCCATGTACCGCTACGGGTAGGCAACCTTGGCACTCCAGCTGTGATAAAACTGCAAATCCCATGAGGTATTGCAAGACTCTGACAGCCACAGGCATGACTCGCAGAGGCAGAGCCATGATAGGGTATGTAGTCTCACAAAAGCTGGAGCGTCAAGGTTGCCTACCCCTGCTTTAAATACCTGTCCAACTACTTTGCTTACTAAAATGATTTTCACACTACCTTTCCAGGACATTTTTTTTAATACCATGTATGTCATTTTTACTCTAGGCAATCAGACATAATGGGGTCTATTCACAAAGCAGCCGAAGGATCTAACCGTAGCTTCGGCCAATCCTTCGGCTAGCTTCGGGCCCCAGGACTCCTTCAGTTCAGTAGAACCAAAGGGCTGCTGTACGGGCTATTCACTATAGCCCGTACAGCTCCCGAACCTGGCCGAGCGGCTCAGTCGAGCTGAACGCATATGCCTTGACTCAGCTGAGCCGTGCTGAAAGCCGAAGCTGGCCGAGCGGCCGGCCATTGGGTGGCCGACAGCCTGCTTCTGACAGCTGGGCGGAGCCAGCCGTGATCTTACGGATGGCTCCGGCCACTTGCAGGGAGATCAGCGTCCCTGGTTACCTGCTAACCAGGGACACTGATCTCCAAACAGCTAACTCTCCCTGGCGCTCCGGGAGTCTCCAGATGTTAGATCGGCTGAGTCGAACTCCTTCTGCACTTCGCATCGGCCGAACATGCTGAGCATGTTCGGCCGACCCGAAGCCACCCGATGTATGGCTGATTTCCGCCGATATACGGCTGAAATCAGCCGTACCTGGCTGAAGTGAATAGCCGAACAGCGTTCGGCTCAATTCGCTTTAGGTCGGTCATTCACTCGGCTGCCTACGGCAGCTTAGTGAATTGACCCCAATGTTTTTTTTAAATGCACTTTAATGCATAACTTTCTTTTTATAACTAATACTGTTGGAAATAGTTTAACTACTGGCATATGATCAATAAACAAGTCTTACAAAAAGTTGATCATTTTTAATAGGGTTAGCCATATCTCATACCATATTCAGACGTCTAATGATCTAACCCACGAGGATAACATCCTAATAAAATGAATCCTTGTATAAAAGAAGAAGTTAAATGACACTCAGTGAATAGAACATAGCACGTCTCAAATTTTACTAGTGCAAAAATAAAAATAAATGATTTTTTAATCCTTTTTTAAATCACAGTCAGAAGGAACATGTGCACAGTAACAAGGTAACAACCTTTACCTACCATCATAATTGACTAATGATGATCATATAAGGGACCACACATATTGGTTCCTGATCTCCACACAGTGATTGCAAATTAGGAAAGTTTGTTGTACTAGAAAACTTTCCCCTCTTCAAAATAATCACAATGACAGGCTAATCACGATAGTAACATAAATGGTTCCTGATCTCCTGTGCAAGGCTGCCTGGCCTTGAAACTGAACACCCTCATTGGAGAGTTTAGCTGAAACATAAAGCTTAACCCCAGCTTCAGCTAAAACATACACAAAATACAAAATTTAATTAAAACTGTCTAAGTGTTTTTAAATAGAAAAGCAGCTTTGGCTGCAATGCTCACCTCCTTTCAATCGATGTCCTTCATAAACGTACACCTTCATCTTGCAGTCAGGTGCTTCTTTCTTGTTGAATGATGGCCAACGTCATTCAACTCACTTCCTGTGTGAGCCCAAGGCATCAAGGACTAGCCTCCTGGGGATGCATTAGTAAGCCATCCGGGGCTCAGGAGAGAATGTTGCAAAGGACATTGCTCGCCTCACTACATGAGTTATGTTCTCTGCAGCATTTAGGGGCAACCAGCACTGGAGAAGACCAGAAGATGAGGAAGAGCATCATGTGGCCATCCAAGAAAAATGTAATCTCTTTAGTTATGGCGAACCCTAATTTACACTACGATGGCCTGAAAGGTGTTATCTGTCAACACATCATTTTTTTTAAACTATTACTTTTGACTTTCCCCAGATAATGGTACATCTGTTAAATTCTGGAAACTGGGGGGAAGAAGGCTTTCTATCAAAAGATGCATGCATTCATTCTGGGCAAATTTAACTTTTTTTAAATACAGTTTTTATTTCAGTAGATCTGAAATTATGAATAGTATGCAGCCCTAACCCTGTGGATATAAATTGTTAAATACCTCAGATGCAGACAAAATGCATTTTTAACTGTCCAGATTGTCTATTGCCAAGCAACTTCTTTATTTAGCATTACCCAGTCCTCCAAATTCCAGCTATCATGCATACCTTGCCAGGACAGAGAATGAAGTATGTATTGAACTTGGCAAATGCATCCTGTCCAGATGTTGTCCACTGTGCATAGGCTAGGCACATACTTGCTTGGTGGAATGTAGCATGGACTACAATACATAGGAGGACTGGGCACTGCAAGATGCAAAGGCTGTCTTTGGCTGGAAAGCTAAAATAACATTTTGTGTGTATCTTGGGCCTATAATCATATTCACTATTGTTATCAGGTCGGTTATTTGGTCGGAGATAGGGAATGTGTTCTACTTGGCAGCCATAGTTGTGTTAGATTAGTTTACATTTTATTACAGCTATTAAGTAAATTGCTCATATATTGTTAGGTCTGCTGTTGCACTGCTAGCTGACTTTGCAACAAGGTAAATTGTTTAATTACAGCTTTTGGCCAGCTTCTCAGCCATGATCTGTGTGGTCTCCATTCTGCTCTCTGTCTTCCATCTCATCAACACATGATCTCACCTAATCTATTTACACGTTAGCAGTCTCTTCTTACATACTGCAAAATCACTTCTCTACTTGACCTTACTTCCTTAAGATGTTGTTTTCTCCTCCATACCCATTACCTATTCACTTATAAATCATCTTACTTGCTGACTAATGATGGAAAATCTGCACTTGTCGGTTTAAGTAGTTGTTTCTAAACCTCTTGCCACTCTATTTGTAATCTTTGTATTCACAATTTAATTTTTTTTACATTTTAAATGTATGGTTCTTCATGCCATGTCATCAGCAAGATTGAATGTAAAAAGGACTGCTTTAAAATGCAGCTTCTACCAAGAAAGTGTAAAGTCTTCTTATGCCAAGTAGATACATTGTTAGTCATAGCTAGCTACCTACTCTGGAAGAGATTTCTCTGAAAGAGAATGTGGATTACAAGGATGCATAACATCGGTGAGCTGTTTGTTTTATGTTTCTAGTGTTATGCCAAGTGGTTGTATCTTGCCTTACACCACCACTTATCAACTTTTTTAGGGCTTGTTTCAACGAGCTTTGGACTTGTGTCAATGGCATCAGTTTGAGACCATTCAGAATGCTTTGTGGGGTGCACTTACCTGAAGTTGACCTCCTTCTGACCTGCATTTGACATGATTCTTGCAGATTTTGCATTCCCATAGAATGTATGGAACTGCAAAACCCGTCTGATGCAAGCAGACTCTAACAATGACCTTAGAGCATGACCTAGCTGAAGACTGGAATTGAAAACATTGTTGTAGCAGAGTGCACTGGCAATATGTTTACCCTTTGAAGGAAAACCTATGAGGTGAGTGCTTTTCACTCATCCTCATAGTTCTAGCCGACCTGTGACAATGAAACTGTCACAGGTTGGCTCAGTAGATCGGCAAGTAAGCGAACACATACCGGCGTTCGCTCACTTCTCGATCCTGTCACGGCAGAGAGCCGTGACAGGGGAGGGACTGGATTCACCCCTCCCCGCTCTGATCCTCCAGCGCTGAGTGGCGGAACGGATGGGGGAGGGGGCGGGTACAGCTGGCTCTGCCTCTAGATAGGCAGAGCCAGCTGTCACTCACGCAGCAGGGTGGATCCAGACATAATTGTCGGGATCCGTTCCGACTGCAGCCTCTCAGTATACCGCGAGCTACAGCTCGCGGTATACTGAGCTTAGGGTGACGGGAGGGTGCTAATTTGTGTCCTCCCGTTACCCCTAGGAGAACTATGGGGAAAAGCCCTAACCCCATAGTTCTCCTTTAAGCTTTGGCTGGTCTGTCTAAGAGTATATTGGGGCTTGAGTGACATTTATTGAGACTGCTCAGGCTTATTGTGTCTCATTTGGAGAAACTGCCCCTCTTTTGCAACCAAATCATTCATTTCACCTGTACTGCTCCTCAAATGTAATTTTTCAGGTCTGTTGTAAATAAATTAGCTATTAAACTGCCAAAAGGGTTCATATTATACTAACATTTCAACCAACCTTTAATGATTGCATCTGGTATTGTTAAATGCTAGTAGAAAGGAAAAGCAATGAGTAGAAAAGGAGCACCAGTGGGTTTTTTTCTTTTTTTCTTCTTGGTCTGTGTGATTT